GCTCGGTGACGAGTTGGAGAGCATTAGTGCGGACTGTGTTGGTGTCCCCGATACCCCCCCCAGCTCCCGAGGACCCGAGGCGCGTCTAGCTGCTGAACTTCGCCGCAGCGCCGCCCGCGGGGGGACAGGAGAAGGAGTAGGAACAGGAAGGAAGGAGTTTCACACGCCGACCTTTGATCCTCCCTCCCCTTCCCCGTCGGGAGCAATCCCAACCGCGTCAGGCGAAAGCCTTACCGGTCTCGATACTCCAGGGCGCTTCCGCGCTAACCGCCGATGGACCTCAGGTGCTGGAACCCCCAGCCCTGCGACCGTCCCTGTGGCGGAGCACGTAGCTACCTTCGAGGAACTCAGTAGACCAGTGTCGGCACAGCCACAGACGCGGTACCCCAAGGTATCATCGGATGAGACATCACACACACATGGTCCGAGTCGCAGCTCGTCCGCGCGCAACCGCCGTGGAGCCCCAGGCCCATGCGGCGAGAGCAGGTCGAGCCCGCGTACTGCCTCTCAGAGGCCATGCACTCCCCGCGACAGGGGACACAGGGAAGCTGACGCTCCCCACCTCTCCATCTCAGACGACCAGCTGGCGGAGACGTCCGCCGCAGGTGACATAGCTGAGCTCAGAGACCAGGTTGAAACCTTCGTGTCCAGCCAATACTCTGGACTACTACAGAGCGTTCAGACGAATGCCACGGATACTGCAGCCATACGCCGCGATCTTGACGGCGCCTTAGGGATCATCGATTCCAGGATCGCCGAAGATAGACGCATCATAGGAGAACTGCAGTACCAGGTTGATCGTGAGGTGTCACACTCAGGTGAACGAACGGCGATGGTCGAGAACCTGCGCAACTATCTCGCGCAGATGGAGCAACAACTTGTGATCGTACGCGACACAGGCATTTCTGCGGTCAGGATTTTACACGATGAGATCCACGACCAGCTCCGTAACCGACCAACCCCAACCGAGGCCACAGACCTCGGCGACGTTCAGTCTCAGATCAATGATCTTCGATCTTACCTAGACCACACTACGGCGACGCTTCGTGCCGAAGCACACACAAACTCGTCGAACCTGATCGACATGTTGCAGCGTACTGAGAGAGTCATCACTCAAAGGCTTGATGCGACCAACGCTGTCGTGCAGCCACTCGCTAACCGGATCTCTGACATAGAGCAGCGTTTCCCTGGTGTACAGGACGCCCTGG